ACATCCTGTCTGGGAATACTCACTTGAAGACGAAAGTGGCAAGTGGTTTGCTCATCCGGAGACGCTTGGAAATGCCGAAGGGCATCATCGCTCAGTGCGTCGCTCACCTGAAGGTGAAGATTCCTGCTCCAGTTCCAGCTCTGCTAGAAGTGACACGGAGACTCAGTGAGTCCGCTCAAGCGCCGTGGCGGAACCGGACATCGTGGCTGTGCACGAGACCAGCGGGCACCCGGACATCGGGCGCCGCTCCACCTCCGCAGACGGTTGGGCCCGTCCTCGAGGTGGAAACATGAGCAGATACAGCAGGTGATGCGCCAGCGTTCCGCCTGCCTTTCTATCGATCTAGCTCCACACCTATAGCAGCACGGAAATTTTAGACTGAGGGAGCAGCTGGTGGTCAGCACTGCTTAACGCAAGTGGATTGCCCCCCCCCCCCCCCCCCAGGTACGCCATTTGGACGCGGCTCAGGCGACAGGACACTGCTAGTGTTGTCGCTCAGCTAGATACGGTGCTTCTGGAGAAGGTGTGCGCCACGAGAGATGCTCACCGACAACTACACGTCGTTCAGAGCTGCCCACCGACAGCAACACGTCATTCAGAGCTCCCCGCTGACAACTACACGTTGTTCAGAGCTCCCCACCGACAACTACACGTTGTTCAGAGCTCCCCACCGACAACTACACCTCGTTCAGAACTCCCCACCGACAACTAAACGTCGTTCAGAACTCCCCGCCGACAACGACACATCGTTCAGGGCTCCCGCTGACAACTACACGTCGTTCAGAGCTCCCTACCGACAACTACGCGTCGTTCAGAGCTCCCCGCCGACAACTAAACGTCGTTCCGCAGTGTGTCGTTCTTGCAACTCGCCCGTAGATGGGATGCGAATATCAGCTACTGAGCTGCTTACGTCCTGTCCGAGAACGAAAGAGATCACCGATGCGTCAAAAGGGTCGCATCTCGCGAGGGTCCCTCAATGGCGGAGGCTGTGAATAGGTATAACGTGATGCCGCGCAGTGATGGCCCGGCTTCCAGCCCTGCAGACGCTCTTTCAACTTTACGTCGCGACCCAACGATCTTGACGGCGATGTGAATGCGTATTTGTCCTGAAGGGCAGGGTCGGTACGGTGTGGGTGATCAGGTACGGGCACGCGATCATAGTCGACGTGCTGATGTGCCGAGGTCGCTTGGTACTGTGAGCCGCGTGGTGTCAAGCCAGAGTGTTGAAGATTATGGTGTTTCGCGTCATGTGCGCGTCTTTCATCTCGCGTCGCTACCACGATCCGAGCCGGCACCCTTACAAAAGGTCGTTGTAGGCGGCCTTGATTCCGTGCCGGCTTCTGTTGATGATGATGGTGGACGGACGATGTCAGAGGCCGAGACCAGTGACATCGGTGTTGAACATATGTTCGTGTCAAGTGATGATATTGACGATGATGAGGTGCAGCGTGAGAGTGATTTGGGCGAGACCCAGACTCTTCGAAGAAGCGCGAGAGCGCGAGCTCCGCCGCTTTAAAGCAGTATGAGGATCTGTAGGATCAGGGGGAGTGTGTCAACTGCTTTGCGTGTGGCTAGTGTGGGAACGCACGCGGGATGACAACTGAGTGATTTTTTTGTGTTGATATGACGAACGCAGGCCGTGCTTTCTTAGGTGGCAAGAAGCCTAAGATAAAAGGGGAAGCTGGGAGCGAACATTGTATGAGGTGGCTTTAAGAAAGGGAAGGCGAAAGCGGCCGTAAAATCATTGAAAAATACAAACTAAAAACGAAGAACCCACCTGTTTCTACCACGTTATTATTATGAGCGAATGCTTTGATCTTTCTGAGCACGGGTTGAGCCCAGGTGCATATACAATTATCTGCCCGAACCTGATCTCGGGGGGGGGGGAATGGCGGGTTCTGCCCCCTCGGGTTTCTCGCTGGTTTCTACTAATCAGCTGGTATTGGATCCTCTCCAGTTACTGACCCCTGAAAATTTTGCTCCACGCATTGTGCCAAAATTTTAGGTCGCCATCTGCGCGAGGGTAGTGTTGGAGCTTAGTATTGGGAGGGAATTCCGGCGGTCACACCAAGACGGTGATCTCCCTGGGATCATGCATACTGCCTTGTGTTTATTGGAGTAACTGATACGGCAAGTGAATGAGACGGTTGCAAAATGGATGGGGTCGTTGGAACATAGCAAAGGACACATGCTAGGCGACTTCAGGTCACAGGAAGGTAGGCTCCAACGGTGTGAAGTGCACTAAGGGGCGCCATTGCAGGTATGAAAGCACCACGCCATCACTGTGGTGCTATGAATGGGTAATATTGGCAAAGATGTGCAAAGGTGAAGCTGGAGGAATGGAACAAAGGATTTTTGTGCAGAGGCGGTTCCAAGAATGACGGTAAAAGGAGTTATGTCTGCATGATGATTTCTTGATTTAATTTTCATAAAGAGCATCTAGAAAGTTGTATGGCAGAAGCGTGTCCAAGAACGACAAAATGGGAATTACGGGACCCGGAGAACATGGTCAGCGGGCCATTAGCTCGCAGCCGCACCAATGGGCTTTGTTCTAAACACGAGTCCCTTCTCCGTACCGTGCCCCACCCCTGTTGAAAACCGGATGCGCCCATAGCACATATCCATGCATGCTGGGTAGGCACCATATGTTAAAGGAAATGCTCCACATTTGAAGATATTGAGGAGAACAGCAGATGTGATGGAAGAGCTAGCTCGAAACTTTTGGTATACTTTTAAAGGGAATGTTCCACATTTGTATGGGGTTTTGAACTGAAATAGCCAACCTAAAGATCATTCGTTGCAGTTCACAGCCCTGCCCCTCTTAAGGCCTAAACCTCTCATCATAAATGAGATGGTGGAAAAGGCCTATCTGATAAGTGGCTTGAAATTCTTTACTGCAATTCTTCTATAGTGTGCGGTGTTCACAGCTCACCCCAATTAACACCGCGGTGGTTCATAGTCGGGAAAATATCCTGATAGTATTCAGTGGCTGCTGTTGAAGACTTGGGTGTGGGGTGAACGAAGTTCAGAGTAACAGCTGGAGGTACGAATTTTCGGCATTTCCCAGCATCACGTGGGTAGAGGGAAAAGACAAGAAGGGGAAAAAGGAGGCAACACACCTCCCCAACTTCTGCTCTACCAACGCTGGGCTGACGGCTCAAAACTTCCTGCCAGTTTGACGCCGACTCTGCCATCTAGCGGCGATGCGGTGGTTGAATGGGTGCCGGTTGATTTTCGCCCATCTACCAGCCGGTAAAGCTCCGGCAGCAAACAAGTCAACGCCATTAAGGTTTCAGTCATCCATCTACCATGAAACAAAATGCCCGACTTCGATGTGGTAATCCGAAAACCTCGGAAGATCACCGTGATGTTCAGTTGGCTGGTCCATCTGCGATGATATACACTGGGGTGCCGCTGAGGCCGAATGGACGCACGCAGTTTCAGGTGCGTTTTAATGAGCAGAATCGTTTGCATGGACGGCAAAAAACAGGCGACCATCCTGGCTGTAGGGAGCACACGATGTACACACGCCACTACACGAGCACACGAGCACACACGAGCACACGACCATTCATTCTAATTTCGTATAATACCTTCCAAAACATGAATTGACATAGTTGTATTTGAACTATTTACAAGCGGATTCCAGTCTCAGACAAAACGAAATACAAAAGCAACGTAGCAAATTCAAGAAGTATCGCACTAATTTACCACTTCCAGATCACGACCGTATGTGCCGAGAGAAGAAATTATTTCTTACCTAGTATAAAACGGCATTAAATCGCTGGACACCGAGTTGAGCACAGACGGAGGCTGAAATTCGCGTCGGTACATAAACGCCACGTGTACATGAGCGGAGAGTGCCAACGTCGATGACACAGATATGAAAATGAGTAGGGAGACATGGGCTCTGAGGAATGACGATCCGTCGTGCCGAGATCACTTCCGCGGAAAGTGCGACACCGCGTCGGGTCAAATCAAGGCATTAGGGGTCAAATAAACACACCGTAGCCCTCTTCTGTCATCTTAAGAACTAAGCATGCTACGATACGGAAGCAGATGTAAAATGACTCAGAGAACTGTAACAGATAGGCACCGGTGGACATCGAAAAATACTTACTTGTGATATATCATGTCAGGTCAAATTAGTGAAAGCTATTGCACCGATCCGCTCGGCTTTATAAGAACTGATCAGACCGACAAAACAGGAAAAGTAACGTTATAAAATGCTATAAAAGCGTTCCAAGCATGCAAGATATGCTATTAAGAAGTGAACCTTATAACCTTAAAAGTCAGATCTGGTCACAAGGTTCAACTTTGACCTTGAGTGACCTGACCTTGAAAAACACCAGAACGATAGCAACGCATCTAAAAGTGATATGGATAAGAAATGCGATCTAGTAAATTGTCTTTGAGAAGCATTTCTGACAAGAAATCAAGCTTTTTATCCCGTCTTAGTAAAATGTCATCGTCATGACCTCGCACATGAGGTCATATGACATGAATCATCAAGGTCAGAAACTTCCACTTTTTGCAAAAATGTTGTCGAAATAACGCAAAGCTAGACATGGAAAACTTCGACACAATGCTCAAAACTGTTCAAAAGTGATTCTGGAAGACTTTACAGGGACAAAGGAAGTCTCCAGTCCTGTTGCAAGGATTATCATCGTCATTAACCAACAAATCCAATGTTTAAAACTGTTCCGGAATGGTGAGGGCCAGTTTTCTAGACCATCCATTCTGGGTTTATTAAAATTTTATGCTCGTCCAAACCTTGCTGACCAGAGTAGATGAATAGGAGCCAAAACACAGAAAGGATTCATCTTAATTGTCATTTATTCATTCATGCCCTAACAATGCCCATCAATGACAGAATGAGTGGATTCTTTGCATAGCCTACGCGACTGCTGCACAACTCGGTGAAGTTTCTAGTTGATCTTTCGAGTTGATTGCCCATGACGCTGCTCCGTGGTCCCGATGCTGCACGATTCATACTTAAATTCAGTCAGGTCAGATCACACCGTTTGGAATTCAACAGGGCCCCAACAGGTGAGCAATCAACAAGGTTTTACACGGAAGGCACTCTTCACCATTATGTATGTATGTACTGGACTGAGAAAAGAATGCTGTTAGCAATGGAAACCGTCGTTATTGCGCCTCTGCTCCACGGCTATGCTGTTTCCAGGGCCCTTACCCGAGGCTTCAAGAGACTCCGCCCCCGGCATCGGTCACGATCAGCCCCGATCGAGACTCGGCGCAGGCCGAACCGCCCAAGGCGCGCCGGAGCAGGACGGCGCGCACATCCGGGCCAGCACTCCCCTCCCGCTGAGATAACGGTCTGGTTATCAGGCTGTGCTTGATGACATCTCGGACCGCGGAGGTTTTGCCGCTCAGAGTGTGACCGTCTGCCAGCGACCGAGGACACCCAGCGGCAGCTCAGCACAGGAGCGCGGCAGGTAGGCTGGGTCAGCCCGCTTGGTCGCTAGAATGGGACACCCAGCGGCAGCTCAGCACAGGAGCGCGGCAGGTAGGCTGGGTCAGCCCGCTTGGTCGCTGGATGGGACACCCAGCGGCAGCTCACACGGAGAGGCGGCAGGTAGGTTGGGTCAGCCCGCTTGGTCGCTGAAATGGGACACCCAGCGGCAGCTCAGCACAGGAGCGCGGCAGGTAGGCTGGGTCGGTCCGCTTGGTCGCTGGAATGGGACACCCAGCGGCAGCTCAGCACAGGAGCGCGGCAGGTAGGTTGGGTCAGTCCCTTGGTCGCTGGAATGGGACACCAGCGGCGCTCAGCACAGCGGGCGGCAGGTAGGCTGGGTCAGTCCGCTGGTCGCTGGAATGGGACACCCAGCGGCAGCTCAGCACAGGAGCGCGGCAGGTAGGCTGGGTCAGCCCGCTTGGTCGCTGGAATGGGACACCCAGCGGCAGCTCAGCACAGGAGCGCGGCATAGACTGGGTCAGCCCACTTGGTCGCTGGAATGTATATCCAGCGCAACCAGGCTTGAAGTTAGACCCAAATACATTTATCCTTCACTTATAGTACCATAGTTTGCGCGGAATCGACGGCTTGTTCCATTGGCCGCAGCGTGGCGGCCGGTGTGACAACCCGGCCTACTGAGAATCACAGTCACGCAGAAATATGCAGAGTCCTTCTGGCGATAGGAGTCGGAGAAGTATCAGCATTTCAGGGTACCTACTCACGACCTTCGCGGTGCATGCGGGTTTTGCATGCAAATAATTAATCGCACTATGGCGTTAGGTCATCATTTCCCAGATTCGTTGTTAAAATGACTTAGAAGTCAACCGACGGCAAAGGCAATGCAAGATTAGAGCCTGAAGGGAAGCCTGTATGGCCAAGCGTTTGCCAGATCCAGTCGCGGGTGGCGATGAGCTTCCTGTTGTGGTCAGGTCGACTGGAATGGTCCTGCTTGCTCATGCTTGTCGTCTCAAGCGAGTTAAAATCGACACATCACAAAAATGTCGGCGCTCGCACCGCGCATTCTTCTGACAGCTATCTCGATGCCTTGTCCGCGAAATAGGCCTGCTCTGATTACGTAAGATCCGACCACCTGATAATGGATCTGAACAAGAGCACGGCGGTGGCTTACGTAAGCCGCCGGTGAAAGAAGATCAGGTCGCGGTGACCTGGACCTGACGTCCAGACGCACCACAGCGCGGTTAGCCCAGCGACGGACGGGGGCGTCCTTCGCACGTACCACATTCAAACTGACCAAACTGGCCAAACTGATCGGTCTTGTCCGTACTCACTTGATTACGGAGTACGGAGGCAGGCACAGTCGACAACTTGCCCGTCGGGAAAAATATAAAGAGTGTGAAGACATCAGAATGCAAAGTGCGGCCACGCTGAACTTCCACCATATGGCGTCAAATTGACCCTCCCCCCCCCAACGAAGGGGTTTCCAGAATGGTTTCGGAACGGCCGCTGCGCAGCCACGCCACATTTGACACAGCTGTAGACAGTTGAATAGCAGATCGTTGGCCCATCAAAATTTAGACGTACCTTGCATGGTTGCTGACCTATGGCAGGTCAAAATCAGGCAGTGGCTTCAGCGAAGTAATTTCTCGGGAATCGTAATCTGATGCAAACAACGGAGTTTTAGCAAAAACCATACATCTCTGATGTGCTTTCTTAGGCAACACAAATATTGAATGAGCAAATTACGTTGCCCTAAGGTCAAGTACAAAGACCAGACTTAGGTCAACACCAACCTGTTTTATTTCTTTAGGGTTTGCTTATGGGACAGTTTCTGGTGCTTATTTTGAATTTATGGATGGCAGGAGCCGCATTATACATCTTGCATGGACTTCTTAGAGGTAAGAATAGTTCATGGACCTGAAATGACCCAGTTCAACATTTTTTTTAGGAGCATACTGCCTGGCGTAATCTTTGTCGCTTATGCAACCGCAAAACCCAGAACAGCCTTGCATGGTTTTGGTTACATGACCTTCAAAAGGTCAAACATGGCCACTGGCCTGACTGAGAATGTGGCCTTTTCCTTAGAAACAGAGAAATAGTTATCTAGGTTATCGGGGCACTTTGGAGACCAACCTGGAATTCGACCTTTTTGCACCTATTTGACCCAAAGGTCATAAACCTAGGAACCAAAACTTTGACCTACGTGAGATCACGTACAGGTCAGTACACCCTGTAATTTGGTGTTCCTCTAGCTCTCTTAGTTTCTGAGATCTCAGAGGGGGTCAAACTGACCCCCACCCGAGCGAAGGGCATCGAGCTTGGCCACCCGGGCGCGTGTTAAGCACATATATTGCATTTAACCAAAATAACGTGGGCTAAATTCCGTGAGAACAAATGGGAGGCAGGTTGTCGTGTCTTTGGTTGCCCCCCCCCCATGATTTACAAAAATGACACCCCTGGTCTGGTTCCATCCCCACCTTTCGGTCCAGTGCAGAGATATCCCTAGGTTGGCAGTGACGGTTTGGTTTGTGACGTCACCCTCCAATCAGCTGATAATGGTCGTAGTCTTTTCACATAAACGAACGACCGTTGACAAGAAATGGGTGGCGACGAGTGGGAGGTGGAGGGGTATCAGCCATTTGTATGTCGCATAGAACTAAATGAGGGGACTGAAAATATTCAAGTGTTATGCATCCTCTGATGCCAATAATGTGTGGATTTCGCGTACATTGTTGATTCATACCGTCCTTAAGTGCATAGCCTACACAGGTGAAACCCATGCATCATCACTGCATCGAATGCAATCTCAACCTGGGTCGCTTTGATATTTTCCAAACAATGCAGTCAAGTCTAGTCCATGCCAGATATTAAAAGGTACAAATTTGTATGCCATTAAGCACCGTTAAGTACCACTGCTTGAGCTGTCTCAAATTGTGCCAGGTTCAATAATGTTTTATGGGATGAGCAGGTTTTCTTAGGCCTTGCAATTTTTTTAAGCCTTAATTTTGCACGATCATTGGAGGCTCCTATTGAATTTTACTGCAGATTGAACTTAAGTTGGATGGTTCACCACAGCGGTCCCACAATGATAAATGTTGCTCATGGTTGCATGGTTTGGGTGGATACTCTCAAAGTAGACGCCACTCACTCTAGGTAAAAACATGGGTTCCAACTACATATGTTCGTGAAAACTAAAGAAGAAGTAAGACCGATGGCAATGTTTCAAAAAATACATGGTGTTTATACCCTATATTCACTTAAATAATACATACATCGGAAATACCAGCGTCCGCCCTGGGGTCCTGCTTTCGTTCGCCGCTGTTGATGAATGTGGCGCATCTATCATGGGAGCGTGGCTTGTCCATAAACATGCCAGCTGGTGATGACGTCATTGCCAAGTGAACTGGGTTTCTTGATTCTTTAGTGCAAGATGTTGTTAACGTCAACTGGGAGATAAAAGAAGCGTAAAATGGATGTCTTGGAAATGTGCCATACTTTCCAGGTTGATGCGTTTTCTAAATGGTGGCATATTTATGAGGGTCTGAGATTCGCGGAGGCATGTCAGCAGAGGATGAAATCACGGGGCGGAGCAACGTAATGATATCTGGCAAAAACTGTGATTGACGACAATGGCGTGCGAGATAGATGCAGAATGCTAACACGCTCCATAGAGGGGGAGGTGTTAAGTTTCACATGAACACATATGCAAGCTGAACAAAAGGTCGGGGGAAGAAGAATGGAAGGGGCTGAACAACATCAGAACGGATCTGACGGTCACCACAAATGACAGTCAAGGCTGATACCGGAGCAACTGTATGGTAATCGCACGACCGTACCCGCTCGGACCTAAAAGGACTGGACCGTATCAGTTTCAAAATATCTCAGTTGGAAGTCTTCAACATGAAAGGCTCGGGTTCGATTCACGGCTGATGGCATAGCCTCTGGACACTCATAATGAATATCAGTGGGGCAATGAATATGCCTGGGACAATGATGCGTTGCCCCAGGATATCAGCATTGCCTGGGGCAATGATAACCAAGAGCGCACGACGAAGACAGAACGTATCTTGACACGAATAGACCAGACCTGGATTAATTAAATTGGACTGCGCCGGGCCGTGCTGGAACATAACGGACGTTATATTAACGGACGTTAGCGGACGGAGCAAGGCTAGAGTTATATGTAGATGGCAGAATATAACTGCGCATGCATACTTACGAAGTTTCTTTTTTGTTCAGTCCTGTACTGTGGGGCGCGTAGGGTGGAATCGTACAGGTGCGGAAATCACTGGATCGGTACGGAACGGATCGGTACGGTACGGAGCCTACGGTTGACCGGACTGGACCTAACCAGGTCTAAGTGGACAGAGAAGAACCGGAAATGGCGTTAAAGCTGGACGTTAACCCAAATCGATGAGGCCGGTCTAATTCGGAGCAGGCTAGGCTGGGAACGACATGAAAGCGATAGACAGACCAAGTAATACTAGACCATGAGCATATAGACCATGTGAACGAAACGAGAGACAAAAAAGGCTACAGGAAACGGGAGCTAGGCTGAACAGAACAGAACTGAGCTTAACTGAACATACCGCATTGAACCAGGCGGATCCGGACTAGGTGAACTGGATATAATAGAGAACGTTGGCATGCCAAGTGAGTTAGAACGCATTTTACTAAACCAGACTGGAAAGAATCGAGACGCACCGGACAAATCCGCTACGTGTCAGCCGCACCCATTGACCTGGTGGCACCAGTGGAGCGGTGTAGTAGCCAAAGAATTCGAGTAGTGATTTGCACAAATGATAGCAAATATCGCACGATCAGGTTTAGTTTGCACAAATACTGTATGCGAAAAATCAGATAAGTGTTTCCTACCTTTTTGTGCAATGCAACACTGGCCATCCGTGGAATTCGAGCTCGTCAATAAGTGCGTAAAGAAAAGAGAAATGGGCAACATCTGTGCGACAAACCGCAAGTATTTCTCGACAGCGATAAAGCCACTCCGCGTTGTGAAAGTGCTGG